CACAAGGTTACAAAGAACCAATCGATTTCCTCAAGGTCTATTGCACTGATGGATTCTCGTAAACTCATCCCATCAGGCTCTGAACACGATGAAGAGCGACAACAAATCAGATCTAGGTTAAGAAAAAGTCTAAGAAACGACCGTGAGCAGTGGTGAGCAATGAAAGCAAAAGAGATGGAAAAGGCGGCGGCTATAGGGAACACAAGATAGCTTTACAGACTAATAAAAGAAACTGGAATTAATAAGTCAAGTGTAAGTCAGACTATTTCGGAGAAAGACGACACCCTCATCTGCTCTCAGTCCAGATGTTTAGAACTATGGGCGGAAAATTTCAGAGAACAGTTCAACTGGCCTTCAGCTACTCTACAACTACCCTCCATTCCCAGACAGTGTGAATGGAACACTGAAGTAGGTCCCCCAACTCTAGCAGAAGTTCAAAAGGCTATAGTTAATCTGAAACGAGGAAGGGCAGATGGATTGGCTCCAGAGGTCTTTAAGGATAGTGGTCAAATTTTAGCGATTCGGTTGACTAATATTTTAGCTAAGATCTGGGAGTTAGACGTTATTCCATCTGACTGGTCACAATCACTTATCGTCCCAATATATAAGAGAGGGTCAAAATCATCCTGTGACAACCATAGAGGGATTAGTTTAACTAATATAGTATCTAAAATAGTAGCCTAGATAATTATCAGACGCCTAACTAAGACTCGTGAACTGCAAACACGAGGGAACCAAGCTGGCTTCAGACGTGGTCGTGGCTGCATCGACCACATATTCACCATTCGTCAGGTTCTAGAACACAGGCATACCTATTGGCGTCCGACGATGGTGGTCTTTCTTGACTTAAAAGCAGCATTTGACTCGGTAGACCGCGAGATTCTGTGGCAGTGTCTGTCATTGAAAGGCGTACCCCAGAAGTACATAAATCTTGTGAAGGCTCTTTAGTCGAACACTACCAATCGAGTCAGAGCTTATGACGAACTGTCATCTGCTTTTGCAACCTCAAGTCGTGTCCGTCAAGGCTGTCCAATTTCTCCATTTTTGTTTAACTTCATCATAGACCTATTGATGGAAATAACATTCTCGTCTACTGAATTCTCGGGTATTGATCTCCATCCAGGAGGTCCACTTATCGACTTAGAATACGCGGATGACATAGTCCTGTTTGGTGAAGACTCTGATAAAATGCAGAGTCTTTTGGTAGCACTGAGCAACAATGCCAGAATGTTTGGAATGCGCTTCTCTCCCTCTAAATACAAGTTGTTGCTTCAGGACTGGTCTGCGTCAACACCTGAACTAAGGATAGGGAGTGAAGTAGTCGAACGCGTTGACAACTTCACTTATCTTGGAAGTCTGATCAGCCCTGATGGGCTGATGTCTGACGAAATCTCAGCACGGATTCGAAAAGCTCGTTTGGCTTTTGCCAACTTACGTCACCTATGGCGAAGGCGAGATATCCGTCTATCAATAAAAGGACGAGTATAATGCTCGGCAGTCCGTTCTGTTTTAATTTACGGCAGCGAAACATGGCCATTAAGAGTAGAAGACACTCGTAAGCTATTAGTACTTGACCACAGATGTCTTAAAAATATTGCTCGCATCTGCTGGGATCACTGGGTAAGTAACAGTGAGGTTAGACACATGGTATTAGGGAATGATGGTAAATCAGTTGATGAGGTTGTGAATCTTCATCGACTGAGATGGTTGGGCCACGTGTTACGTATGCCTGAACACCGATTACCACGACGTGCAATGCTATCCGGTGTTCGGGATGGTTGGAAGAAAGTTAGGGGCGGCCAAACCAAAACGTGGCATCAGTGCTTGAAGACACTAACTTCTAGTCTGAGCCATGTTGGTAGATGCAGACTACTTGGTTGGGGTCCGCGTGACTCTTGGTGGCATGGCTCAGAATCTATCACAATGGCGTCGGTGTATACACTCTCTGTCTTCCCTTAAACTAAGAGATTGAAATCTCTTCATATCTTTCTTTCTACGAACTAATTCTTTCTTCCTGTACTATATCCTTATTGCAATCTCTCTTTTATATATTACCACCTCTGAATTCACTACTTTTATGAATCCGGTGTCCATCTTGTTGTGTTAATGAGGTATGGCAACTTGGACCGATGCATAAATGTGCCTGGTCCTAAGTTGTAGCTGACTGACTGACTGTGCGATAATGCCCAAGCCATGCAACCGCACTTAATAATTTGGCAATCAACGTCCGTAGGTATGGTATGTGCTTTGCACCTTAGAAGTGCAAAGTACTTCAACAAGACTGGCAGGACTCTGTATTCACCCTGAGTAATGAGCAGATAGAAGTAGTCGGGAGGTTGATTATGAATACAGTGGTCTTGAGTGCTGTTAGAGGTATGAGCGCGGTTATCACTCCCCAGTTGCCCACACCGTGGAAGGGTTCTTCTGGAGGTACCTGAAAAGGAAATTGGATTAGAGGTGGTCTTAGTGACCTGAGAGCCTGACCGCAGTGCCTAAGGGACAACTGCTGGAGGTCGGTCACACACGACCTTTTTATGGCTAATTTTTGTGTTAGCTCCGTACTTGTTGAGACCTTACCGCCGGAAACGGATATCCGTGGGATAAGGCGAGGTGTGCATTTTTAGGGTCGACCTGTTCTAACCCCACCCCTCCTTGTGGGAAGGTAGCATCGCTGTCATGCTGGTTGTCTGAAGGAAACACCTTACTGCTGTCACACCTCTGTACAGTTAGCAGTACGACTTCGCCTTCGGACCTTGGGTTTGTTGCTTTTAGTCTTACCGCTCTTCAACCGACCTGTCTGACATGGTAGGACCTTGAGTAACGGTTGTTCCAGCCAGTATAGCTCGGTTGCTTCATCACGATAGGCAAGCCCGACCACCACGTCAAGGTAGCAACAACGGTCGGGATAGAAGTAGTCGAGAAGTTCGTGTATCTAGGTAGCTGTATAAGTGCTGGTGGTGGCGTGAGTGATGAGATCAATGCATGTATAGTGAAAGCCAGAGCGGCTTATGCCAATCTGAGTCATCTTTGGCGCCTTCGTGATGTTAGTCTGGCTGTAAAATGTCGAATCTACAACGCATCGGTGAGAGCAGTTTTGCTCTGCGCTTGGGAGACCTGGCCTTTCCGAGTTGAGGATGTTAGACGACTCTGTGTTTGAGCATCTTTGTCTCCGAAGGATTGCTGACATCCAGTGGCTGCTCCATGTTAGTAATGCAGAGGTTCGGCATCGTGTGTTCGGGCACCATCTTGAAACATCGACTTCGGTGGCTTGGACATGTTCTCCGAATGTCGTCCCAGAGAATTCCACGTCGTGCATTATTTTCTGACACTGAAACTAGGTTGACAAAGCGGAAAGGTGGTCAGTGTATGACATGGTGTCGTGGTATGAAAGAAAGCTGCAAAGGACTGGCTTCTGTCGGTCCTTCACGACTCCCTCGTTGGGGTCTGAGAGATGGTGCTACACAGTGGCTAGAGTCGTTATCAGATATTGCTCAGAATAGAAGCCAGTGGCGATCCTGCTGCAACTTTATTTTACTTTCTTCATAAAAATGGGAGTGATTTCTTTAACTGGAAGAATCCTTTCTGGATGTACTGTTGCTAACTGAACTGCTTCTCCTATTATTATTATTGTTTCACTAAAATACACTAAGTTCTCCTTTCTCTTATACGCACCTTACATTCTATATCTCTTTACATTCTCATTGTTAGTGTATTTGGTGCCCCTTTATACCAATATTTGTGTTCAAATAAATAAATAAATAAATAAACAAATAAATAAATGAATAAATAAATAATTGCGAATAAACCTAAAAGTAGTAATATAAAAGTATTTAAGTAACTACAGTGGAAAAGCTGAATTTTTTACTGTGGCTTAGAGATTTTTTAAAGGAACACACTCAAACGTTATGAGTTTTTGACCTATTTGAATCACAACTTAAATTGGCCTGAAATTCCAGATAGGTGGTTTTGATGCTAAGCGTGACGTAAACCAAATGACGAGACTGGGCAAGCTATCTACTGAGACTTGAATGCCCTGGTACAGCCAAAGGTGGGGACAGTCAGTTTTTCCTCTCGAGATGCCCTCACATGGTCACGCGTATACAGCTTCTGTCAGAGAAGTCCTACTCATTGTCTTCTCTTAGCCGGGGTGTTGTTTACAAAACTGAGAGGGTGAAAAGTAAATGTATGGCATTTCAACTGGGTTAATGGTGGGTAAGGAGGAACCACCTATAGAAGTTTGAAAATTCTGATTCCAAACCAATGGTGCACGTGAGCTCAAGATTCTGAAGGAACTAATCGCGTATAAACCCGTTGTTGGTCACAGCTATCATGGAACTGCATCTCCTAAAGTCGCCCAACTGCCTTGTGGATTAGACCTCTAGGTTAGAGGCCCGAGTCAATTATGGTCTAGATGGACGAGTCAGAACAGTTCGACTGAGGACAGCAACTGAAGAGATCAGCTGGGATATGCGAAACCTGTGCCTAATGGAAGAAGCCGATTATATGAACACGACAGCAGTGAAGCCTGGACGTGGTGCCCGGTTGGAGAGAATGTCAATTGTGTCCATAACTAACCAACCAAATCACTGCTTAAGCGCCCAAAACGTCAGTCTGGTCTGATGCATCTGTAGACTCTCCTTGTTGCATGTGATCTGAAAACTGAAAGGGATTATTATCCTATTATATTAGTATGACCCATAATTTCTATTCATTTCGATAAGATAAGCAATACTGGTCGGTATGTCCGTGCGTTCCACTTAATGATTATAGTTTTTTTTATTATTGTACTAATCAAATTGTAATTTTACGTTTAGAAACAGATAAAGCTCAAAGACGAGTTGTCCTTGTTCTGATTATGGCTTTCATATAGACCCCAGAGTTGCCAGTATCGCGTTTACAGTTCTAGTAGAATATCTGTAGAACGAATTAAATCCTGTACTTAGGTATCCAGAAAAAGTGAAAAATAACAGGAAATTAATAAACATCCAAACTCTACATACCTAACAGAAACCTTAAACTCGTGCTGCGCATTCGAAATAAGCTGGTTGAGAGCCTCATTTGGTTGGTAAAATCCCAAAAGAATGATTTCCCTCAATCCCGGTAACTAAATTGCAATGTCGAATTCTAATGATTACCTTGGAAAAGGCTTCAATATGATGGTAAACAACTGGAAACCCAGCTATTGGAAAAAGTGGTTTAGGCAACTCCAATGAAAGTGGCCTAAAGCGAGTCCCTTTATGTGAAAAAGTAATCGAAATGTCCATTATTACCTTTACATGGACCACCAATTAAGATTATAGCTTTAATTTTCTTCGTGCTATCAGTAAGTACAACTTCATCATTTTCCATATTCTTGTGAAGATATTTTCAGATCGCAGTTAAATATACTTTGTCTCAAAACACCAGGTAGTTACTACTGAAATAAAAGTAAGCACAATATAATCATGAATTATATCCATCGGATGCATCAGTAACTGAATATTTTCGACTTTGAGAAGAAATATAAGACAAGTATAGATCACGACGAATTGCTTCAGAAAAATCCTTGCCGAGACTTTCTCAGTCAAATCAAGATCTCAACAATATTAAAGGTAACTTACACCAGCATAAACCTCGTTGACTTGTAATTTCATTATTATTGTAAGTAGTTTAAACCCGAAAACAGGCACCCATATTTTTGGAGATTGCAAGAGTACTAAATCGAAGCACTGCATCCGACATTTTACAAGTATTAAAATGATAAGCATTGGTAATAGAATGTTGACATTTTAAGAATTAATTCTGACCAGTCTCGTTTGACGTGTATACAGATTGCTTCGATATAGTCGATAACTTATGATAAATTAAGAATTTAAACGAATGATAAAACTGAGACTCATGTGAGACTATCTTTTACTTAGAAGATAATAAACAGGGGACAACACTGTCAGAAGTTCAGCGACAAAACAGTGGTTTTCAATTAGTCCTTAACCAACATAATTATAGCAGGTCGTGCTATAACCAAAGACGTGATTACTACGTAGGGTTTGTTATTCGTAAATCTAAATAAAGTTTTCGAAGGTTTCAGTTTCAAATTTAAAACCGACGCTTCGGAACTAGTTCATCAGGTACAGATATTAAATAATAGTAATATCAGAACACAGCATCTGCACTTCATGTTCATATGTTTGAGGTGACATTAAATTGCCGTAGCACTAAATATTCGGGGAATATAGGTTAACTGCCGTTTTATACTTGCAACTGTTAAATTAACCTAGAAACTATCGACAATCTAGTGCGCATTGTACATCAAATACGTGCTTATGGACGTTATTGAAACTTTGAGCAGATGGAGATTCAGTAACTTTGGTTCACATAAACTGTCGTATCGGATAGTGAATTAACGTAGAAAAAATCTACTGTGAAAAGCTTAAATTAACTCACTAGCTACTAACCCATTGAGAATCTATTGCTCGATAAAATGAGTTTTTAAACCGAGAAGAGCATTGAATATTATAGACTGTTTAACCGAAAGCACTTGTTTAGATGACCTCTAACCAATTCTGAATAATTTTCTAACCTGTTCTGGAGAACCAATGACCTCCAAAGTAGAATTACCGCTCTAGCACGCTCTAGAGAACTATTCAAAATAAAAGGATAGTGACTCAATAAACTGTTTTTTTAATTGTGATTTGACCCCGTCAAACACCTCCTCAGACTTCAAAAAATGTGCGACTTGGTTTTCTATCAGAATATGTGCTTGAATTTTAGAAGAGAGCTGTTGTATACACGTTTCTAATAATCTTTGTATTAAATCCTAAGGAGAATGAAGATATAAAATATAAAACCCGATAATCAGTATCTTGGCGATGAGAAAATATAAAACAAGTGTTTGGTGGCACTGTCTATTTGAAATCAAGCAGTCGCTACAGATCTACGATCGTTTTTAGATTAGGTAGGTCATGCCAAAAGATTGCAATAGATCTGAAAACTCCGACATATATTTGAACACTATTACGTTATGCGAAAACTTTATACAGTAGATTTTTTCTGAAGTCTGCAGTCTGAGTAACGGCTGGATAGCGTGTGTTCTATTCTGTTGGTCCGGGTGCTTCTTGCTCTACACATGAACTTATCTATAGTATTAACTTTTGGGACTTTCAAGAACCCTCGCACGTTCGAATCACTTACTAACTGAATGTCTTAAATACGGTTCTCAGCCAGGTCTGAGCGTTTCGGCACTTCTATTTTAAAAAACAACGAGACTTAGTGGATTCCGCCTATTTCCGTATATCTCATTACAGCTGCAAAAAATTACTATTTCGATCGAATATATGGTGTTTAAATTAGTGTGGGGCCAGTGGAATGTCACTGAGCTCTAGACAAATCAACCGACTGTTGGGTCACTGAATATCGAATAGATCATCGATCCCTGTCAAGGTCAAGGACAACCAACATGCATCAGCTAACCGTATGCCACAGACTAGCCATGCAGTGGTGGCCTCAAAATCTTCTCTGTGTTCATTCTTACTAGTATATCTCCGTAATGACGTCCCTTGTCTTATACAGCTTTCATAGCAGCCATAGTACCTTGATACGTCAAGGGAGTAGTTCAAGTTAGGTGCTGACTTCGAGGAGTGACTTTTAGTCACATCATTTCCGTCTAACTACAGTAGGCCTCCAATAATTCTATATATATAATCTATGTTAGTAGTCTACATTAGTACAATATAACGATATGGTGATAAAATCGTTTAAAATCACCTCAAAGTTTCCTGTTTGTAAGTACTTCAAACTCTTATACTCTTGATGGCACTGTTGATGCTAATTTCCTCTATAGCTGACTCCAATAAGTGATATCCAATTAACTGAGTATTTTAGGTAGGCTAAATCTCCTAGTGGAATTATGAATTTACTCGAGATTATTCAGAAGCCTGAACACCAGTTGTAGAGATATTTTTATTATTAAAGATAAATAAAATCCGCAAGCGTACAGAGAGCAAGCACACTGTGAAACCAAGAGAGTGTGTGTGTGCGTGTGTATGTGAGAGAGAGTTAAAAGTCCATATATATTTTTGAGTGTCAATCAAGTGTGGATAAATTATTGATTATCTGTATGTTACAACCAGTAGGTTGATGTGCAGACACGCACTCCATCATACACACACAGAAATTAGCATAGTGAATTAAGTGTCTGAATTGCAGTCAGTAGACAAGTAATACAATAGATCAATGGGATTGCTACAGCACCAAAGACTGGGATATTTAACATTTGCAAAGACTAAAAAATGTTGAAATATCGATATAGGCCTCGGAACAACAAGTACTATGGAACTCTACGGGTCGTTACGAATAAAGTGTATAATTGCAATCTGAGAAGCCCAGCAAATGTATGAAAAATAGTTTAACCAATCTCTAATCGACCAGCCTAAAAGCTGTTCTCTTACATAAATTACAGAAGATGGATACAGCACTAGATTTCCAACCTAATTATGGAAGGGATTTGTCTTGCAAATTAAGCCTCTGGATGAAGACCCTAGACAATGGAACATCAGTGGGTGTTGTATACATAGACATCAGCAAAGCATTTGACAACTTACTTACTTACTTACGCCTGTTACTCCTCGTGAAGGAGCATAGGCCGCTCACCAGCATTCTCCATCCAACCCTGTCCTCAGCAATCTTTTCTAGCTCCGTCCAGTTGTAATTCATCGTTTTCATATTTGCTTCTATTATCCGACTCAATGTGTTCTTTGGCCTTCCTCTTTTCCGCCTCCCTTCAGGATTCCAAGTTAGGGCTTGCCTCGTGATGTAGTTTGACGATTTGCATGATGTATGTCCTATCCATTTCCATCGTCTTTTCCTAATTTCTTCTTCAGCTGGAAGTTGGTTCGTTCTCTCCCACGGAAGGCTATTGCTGATGGTATCTGGCCAATGGATGTTGAGTATCTTGCGTGGACAACTATTTATAAATACTTGTACCTTCTTGATGATGGTTGTAGTAGTTCTCCAAGTTTCAGCTCCATACAGTAGAACTGTCTTGACGTTCGTATTGAAGATTGTGACTTTGATATTGGTTGATAGTTGTTTTGAGTTCGATATGTTCTTCAATTGTAGGAATGCGACCCTTGCTTTGCCAATCCTTGCCGTTACGTCTGCATCTGAGCCTCCTTGTTCATCGATGATGCTTCCTAGGTATGTGAAGGATTCTACATCTTCCAGAGTTTCGCCATCAAGAGTGATTGGATTGCTGTTCTCCGCCTTGAATTTGAGGACCTTGGTTTTCCCTTTGTGTATGCTGAGGCCTACTGATGCAGAGACTGCTGCTACACTGGCTGTCTTTATCTGCATCTGTTCGTGTGTATGCAATAGGAGGGCTAGGTCATCTGCGAAGTTCAAATCGTCTAATTGATTCTGAGCTGTCCATTGTATGCCGCGTTTTCCCTCAGATGTCGAGGTCTTCATAATCCAGTCGACACCAGAAGAAAAAGGAAGGGAGAGAGTAAACAGTCTTGTCTGACTCCAGTCCTTACTTGGAATGCATCTGTCAGCTGTCCTCCATGCACGACTTTGCATTGTAGTCCGTCGTATGAGTTCCGGATAATGTTGACAATCTTCTCGGGAACTCCGTAGTGTCGAAGAAGTTTCCATAACGTCCTCCTGTCTACACTGTCAAACGACCTTTCATAATCAATGAAGTTGATGTACAGTGACGAGTTTTACTCAACTGATTGTTCGACGATGATCCTTAGTGTTGCAATTTGGTCTGTGCACGATCGACCCTTACGGAATCCAGCTTGTTGATCTCGAAGTTGGGCATCTACTGCATCCTTCATCCGGTTCAGCAACACTCTGTTGAAGACTTTCCCTGGTATTGGCAGTAGTGTAATGCCTCTGTAGTTTTCACATTTGCTCAGATCTCCTTTCTTTGGAATCTTGACGAGGTGTCCTTCTTTCCAGTCCATCGCACTTGTTCCTCCTCCCAAATCTTTTTGAATGGAAGGTAAAGCATGCTTGTGGTTGCTTCGATGTCTGATTTCAATGCTTCAGTTGGTATGTTGTCGGGTCCTGCTGCTTTCCCGTTCTTGATTTGTCTGACGACCATTCTAATTTCTTCCGTCGTTGGTGGGTTGACATCTATAGCATTTGACAAGGTGCTGACAAATAGACTGATGTTGAAGCTAGAAAATATTGGCATTGCCAGATCTATCCTAAAATGGCCTAAAGATTTCCTAGTAGGTCGTATCCGAAAAGTGAGAGCAAATTCGAGATGCTCCGCCTGGAGAACAGTAGTTAGTGGAGTGCCGCAAGATTCTGTCCTAGATCCTTTACTTTTTTACCATATGCAAATGATCTCTCAAGTATAGTTGAGTCCCCAACATTATTATACGCTGATATGAAAATATGGCGAGAAATAACAGGAGATGCAGGTGCATGCGTACTTCAGGCAGAACTAAATATTGTGATTAGCCGGTCTAAAGAGCGGCTGATATCTATCAACTCTGCAGCGTATCTACATGCACACTGGGGATACAAAGGTAAATAGGCGTAGCATAGGGGAAGTGTCTGTGCCTGCGGTCCGGTCTCACGAGGTTGTTAAAGTGACAGTGAGTCAAGGCCACGGGCCACTGCCAAGAAGTTGCATCTAAAGGATTTAAAACCCTATGGGCTCTAAGACGTACATTCACCAAGCTAGTTGTTACCATGTTCACTACAGTATACAGATCTAAACTTGGAAGTGGATTCACGCTGCAAGCCCCTGTTTAGAAGTTGACTCGGATGTCATAGAAAAATTACAGACGGCAGCTATCCCGCCCATCCCAGGACTCCAGAGTTGACCATACAAAGAGCGGCTAGAGAAGCTAGACCTCTTAACTCTGACCCATCTCAGATTAAGAGGTGATCTAGTTTTGATGTATAGAACGCTAAACAATGATTTTGGACCCAATTTATCCTCTCTCTTTCTTCACACTGGATCTAGACATCAAACTTTCGCTATATTCTTACGCAACAAAAGTACCATTTCAGATCTAAAGAATCTATTCTGAGCTATACGTTGGATGGATTACTTTTTTTTTCAAGTTTCACCCAATTTAATAGTTAGCTGTGGTTTAGCCTCAGTTTACTATTCGTTTTTTTAGTTTTTTACGTAAAGACTAGTTCAGTTTATCTCATCCGTTTTTATCAATTTTTTTCGTTTTAAGTGTGCCTTTTAGTGTATTTTTTACGGTCTTAGGCTTTTCCTAGCATCTATAACACAGTTTACGTCAATATAGTCATGAAAAATTCATGCAAACGACCTGGAGGCCGTTTTGCTGTTACATCTGGCATGCAGTGTGACAAGTGCAAATATCGGACCCATGAAGCGTGCACAGATCTCACAGCAACTGCTTACAACAGACTCAGCAAGTTGGATCATAAGTGGGAATGTGTTACGTGCAGCACGGATTCTGTGGTTTTGCTGAGTAACATCATTGTCCTACTGATAGGTCTACAGAGCAAGTTGTCGGCAAACTTGGAAAAAGACAGTCAAAAAATGGGTAGACAAACAAGAGAGCGCATTGAAAACGAGAACAGGGATATCGACAGGTCTGCCGACGACGGAGCATGCAACAGCATTAATGATGACACGCTGGAACTCAGCACGACGACGGTACTCGACTCCCTCAGCAAACTCGGGTCTCACAACTCAAGGTCCTTGAACGTGGCAGTGGTTCCCAAAAACTCTGTAGGTGATTGGACCCATGTC